AACATAGAGAACAAATAGAAGAAGCCATATCATGGTTCAATAAGAACCTTGGTTTCTGGATAGAATCTGGACTGGTATGTAAATCCTAAACTTTCAGGATATTTTTTTTATTTTTGTCAGGAGATGTTTTTAGTTTTTTTTTGTTTCTCTAGGTGTAAAATTTATATTCTCTAACATTAATGTCAAGAATCCTATTGAGCAATACTTCTTCACCGTTCGACATGAGAATGATATTTACACTTGTAAGTATATTTGTGTTATTCATTCATTGAATTTTAATCTTGAAAAACATTTTGTAAGAGCATTTGACGAAAAATATTCTCAATTTCAGTGCTCGACTGTGATCCACATCTTAATGATACCAAAGAGTTGATCAATGAGTTGAATAGAAGCAATGGACTATTCAAATTTGTCAGAAGTATGAGAGAGAAGTTTCAACAATCAGCAGCATGTGGTATGATATTATGTCTTGCATTCTTCTCCTTTGCGTCATATTCTGTTGAAATTTGATAGATTTTTGGAGGCATTGACCCTTGCCGGTAGTGCTAATGAAATAAAACCGAAGGAGGTGCTTGACATGTCCCACATACATGTGACATTTTCCCATAAATGTCATGTGCAATAATGGGAAAGGATTAGTAGCATGCCTGTTCTTGATTCCAATGGGGTACTACTTGTGGTATTATTTCTAAGGATGCGTCTTATGATTCTCCAGGAATTTTTCCTCAAGCTACCTCTATTGATCAGGACTCTTCCATAATCTCTGTATCTGCCCCAGTTTCTTCAGTTTCGACTGACAGAAGTGAATCTCTAGCCAAGACAACAGAGCTTCAACTTGGAGAAAACAACACAGTTTCCAGGAAAGTTAACCATGGCAGAGGTGGTAAACTGGCAATTCTGTCTCCCGGTTCTGCTTCATCACTTCGCCGATCCCCACGCTTTAAGGTATTGCTATAATGATAGCCTGCTTTCAGCCTGAATTGTCTTTAATTTTGGTCTGCAGAAGGCATCTGTGTGGAATGTAATCTCTTATGGAACTACATCAGGGAGGGATTGGAATTGACCATGATAGAGTTTTGTAATTTTTTTCCCATTTGTTTTTGTCTAGAGAACTCCACCTGCATCATTCTTCTAGCCTTAGACAAGTAGTCCTACGTGGATTAAGTAGGTTGTGTCACTTGTCTCAGATTTATTTGAACATCTTGCATGTAAAAGGAAACAGAAAAGTTCATCTACATCCTTTGTAGATTGTGTTGTCTTCAAGCACACCGCCCTATGATTTGAAATTTCACCGCATATGTTTTACTTGTTCTACGCCCCTCTCTGTCATCACTTATTCGTGACAGCTAAAAACATACTGACATGTTATATTCACTAAAAAAAAAGTCAAATTTGCCCATCTTTTTTACCATGCACAACAACCCTCCTTCCCCAACAACTCCGATCTCCTGCCAAATGCAGCCCCTCCCCACCCACCTGCAGCCCTTTTGCACCACCACCACGTCTACTACCAATTAAAGCCCGTCCCTATCCATCTGCAGCCCTCAACACACCGCCACCACCACCACCATCACAACTCACTACTGTCCCAATTCAAACTTACTTAATGCATTTGAATCAAAGCAATCAAAATTAAAACCAAATACTATCAGGAAAAAGCCTAATTCAAAATCTGAAATAAAAATCGTACTCAGTTGAATCTGGTTTTGAATTACGAGAGGGAGAACTGTCACCCCACCACTACACACCTCCCCACAACTGTACACCACCACTTTTCCCTCTGCACACATCACCAGAACCCAACAGAGTTAAAACTAACTGTACAAATTGTATCAAAACCATCAAATTAAAACCAAATTCATCAGATTAAAACCAAAAAATATTATACAATCACCTATTTCAAAATCTAAAATGGAATTTCCAATTCAAACTAACTCACCAAATTCAAATGAGAAACATCATATTATTGCCATTTTATCATATTGAAGGCAACAATTTAGATGAAAAATTCAAAATCTGGAATTGAAATTATAGCCAAGTGATTTTGATTTCGATCTAGAGAAAGATAGGGGGTTCTCTCTCTTGCTCGCTCCCCCATCTGCTTTCCAGCGGGATAATGGGTTCGTTGTGTAGTGGGACATTATTGGGGTAGTTGGTGGATGGGATGGGAGGGGGTAGGAGTGGGCTTTGGGGTCTCTGTGCTTGCACATGTGTTGTGTAATAACTGAGGATATAAGCGAAATATGTGTTTGGTATGTTGATAAAGCAATTGTTTCCATTTATTCTAATCCAGCATTGACAAGGGTGTTAGTGAAATTGCAGTTAATAAAGAGAATGCCTTTGAATTTATGGAAATCTTAATGGGATCAGTAAGATTTCCCAGAAAACAATATGAGAGTGTTGACTATGTACCATCAATATTTCTGTTGTAGAGTGAAGCTATGCTGTTTTTTTGCCTGCTTTTCTTTAAACTGGCACGTGCATGACTTTTTTTCGAACAGGGTGTGGTTCCTGTTATCACTATTTGGTCAATTTGTGCAACTCAACCTACATCTTCATGCTCTGTATTTGCAACAAATACCACTATATCAAGAGAATTAGCATTGTTGGTGCCATGGCACTAGTATATGCAAAATGCAAAATGCAAAATGCAAAATGGGCTTTGGCTCCTCTGGCAGCTTGCTCTACTTGAAAGCTGTCTCATGCTAGGGGTTTTATAATCCTATTTTCCATTTCCAATTGACTGTAATGTTAATGGGAAGGAATTTGTCCCCACGGGGGTATCTGGCATAATTAGAGTCCTTTATATTCACCATGCCCAAAATATTATTGTTCTATAAAGTTTCTTATCTGAGACCTCAAATAATTTGGCAGGTGAAGAAATGAAGATGAAGCTAAAGGCTGTGCTGCCTGTTCATATGATCACTTGCTTTAACAGGCTTCCTTAGCCCTAATTCTTGACTTATGGAGTGTGTAAACAGTAAATATAAGGCGAAGATCTTATTTGCTTTCATTGATGTTTTTAAAAGCAGAGTTGGAGATCTCCAAATGTCAAAAGTGAGGATATTCAATTGACACAACAGTGTCGTGGTGTTTCTAGAATTGACATGTTATGTATTATTAGCATTTGGGCATGGAATGCCTGGGCAATAATTCTGTAAAGTGCATTATTAAAACTTGGTCGGGTTATTTTGATGTTATTGTAATCGTTTGATTTTGCTTGTTATATATGAATGATGCCTCTTTTTGACACAGGCGATGAATGGTCCAGATCAATTAGAATCAGAAGTTCTTCAACTGGGTCATTATCAGATTCAAAGTTATCTCAAAATATTTGGTGCCGTGCTGTGTTGTTGTACGTGGGATTCGTAATTTTGCTGCTAAGACATCAAAAATAATGGTGCTTTGTAAGATGCTTCACCTATGTGCTACAAGACAGCATCTGTAGTTCTCATGTATTCGGTATAATCCTAAAAATTATAATTTTTTCATATGACAATTTACATAGTTTAAAAACTCGAATCGTGATACAGATCATTGATAGATGTAGAGCTCTGTGTTAATGGACAACCCAGTCAGTGGTTATTAATATTTCCTATCTCAATCACATAGGATAAAACTGGTCCAAGCTTGGCTTGTAATTTTTCAGGTTTGCTCAAGGACTTTGTAAAAATGATTATAGATACACATATTTTAATTGATTTTTTTAATATATATACACATATTTTATCATTATATTTTTATATGAAATTAATGTATACATAATATATAAACAAATAAGATACATATCAACACAAATAATTAATTTTTCATCCACTTTTATTCTGATTTTGGAGGGATTGATTTTGATGAGTTTAAAGGAAAGTTAATCCATTCACTTTTCCATCCTTCCTATTTTCCTTCCTTACCAAACATGATATTTTATTTATCCCTCCAACTTTTCATCCTTTCAACTTTCCATCCTTTCATTTTTCCATCATACCAAACAAAGCATAATAAATTTATGATTGAAATTAGGAAAAGGGCTATTGAATTTTTGACCAAAACAAGAAATATTAGAATTATGATGCGAGCAAAATGTAGAAATAATTATAGTTTTAAGCATATATTTATAATTGGAATTAATAAAAATTGCTACGAAACTTTTGGCCAAATTAACAATTATTAGAATTATGATGTGAGCAACATAATTATGAGTATTGTAATCTAAAATTCAAAATAAAACATGCAAATAATAGTTAGATCATATAACATGCAATTTAAATAAATATAGAAAATGAATAAACATGCAATCTAAATAAATTAAATAAATTAATTTGGAATGAGCTGGCCTGCGAGTCCGAGGCGCGTGTGATCACTGTCCTAAAGTAGTTGAGCCTCTCCACGTGAGAGTACTGACGGACACCAGCGACTCCAAGATCCAACCCAGACGCTCGCAGCAGCACCTTCTCAATAGTCACGTCCTCTGAAAGGTTGAAGTGAACCTGACTCGAATCGAGTTGCCCCAAAAATAAAGTAATAGAAGATAATCAAAAAAGATAGGCCAAAATATAAAAGAATTGATATGAGCAAAAGTCTACTGAAATGAGGATTGTAGTATTTCTATTTTATTCACTTAAAAATAATTTCTCAAAGACTTTATATAGCCACTGCGTGTCTAACGTACACACAATAACTATTTAAATTTTTTTTTTAGTCGTTTGGAACATGATTACTATTCAATGGTTTTCAATTGTTTTGCACATGCTGACTTTTCAATTTCTTTTTGACCGTTGACTACTATGTAACCTATATATATAGAGAGAGAGAGAGAGAGATTCAATGGATTTAAATGTTTAGCCTTGAATACTCATAAAACCAATTTTGAGATCAATAATAATTATTCTTGAATATTCACACTAAATAGGACCAAAAAATTTGCAATTGAAATTCACATAATTAAAATAGAAATTTAATAAAAGTTTTAAAAACTTAATTTTATTCTTATAATCCCCCACAAGTTTTTGAAACTTCAAAATATTTTAAATATTTTATATATACTGTAATATAGAAAATATGGGTAACTATTATACTGTGTAATAGGTGTAGGTGTCTTTCGGACTTGAACCTCACTTAGTGTTGACAGTTTTTCGTTGAAGGATCATACTGACCAAAGGTTTGAACTAGATCCTTTGGACCAGAGTTCAACATGTCCTACACACAATATCGATATTGGTCAAGATTCGCAGGTTAGTGCTATTAATGGCCTTGCACTTGATTTTGATTCTCATGAGAGTTGCTAAAGAATAGTCCAATTCTCATAGTCACGGCCTCACGACTACTCTCACTTAGGTGAGCCCTTCAAGGGTACATATGCACAATACCCTATAGGAGTGTTCTTGCCTCGGTCTCATTAAGGGTAAAACATCTCCTTACTGTTACACTATATATTCACTTTTGCCATATGGATGAGCAGGAAAATATCTCCTCTTGGATATTTCCTTAATAACAGTGCTAATGAGTCACGAATTATGGATTGTTTCTACCCATTGAACTTCCTTCATGGGGTCCCCAATCACAGAAGTTGGATTACCTGCCTAGGTGACTCCCTTGTGGGCTTAAGCCCATCCCCCTCGACAGTTCTGATACAGCTTTCCTCAAAAGCCCTTTAGTTAACTGATCAGCTATATTTAGCTCAGACTTCACAAAGTCTAGTGAGATTATGCTTTTACTCAGCATTTTCTTTATTGATTTATATCTCACTTATATATGTCTATTCATCTTTTTATTATTATGAATTTGCTTCACAAGCTCAATCACTGCCTTACTATCACAGTGTAATGAAATGACAGGTATGAGTTTTTCCACTAGAGGTGTCTCTAGTAATAAATTCTTTATCCACTCAGCCTCAGCACACGTGGTATCTAAGGCTATAAGTTTCGACTCCATAATACTTCTTGATATTAGGGTTTTTTTTTTAGATCCCCAAGATATGATTGCTCCTCCTAACAGAAAAACATAGCCAGTAGTGGATTTTATATCTAAATTATCGGTGATCCAATTTGTATCACTAAAGCCCTCAACTACACTAGGAAATCCACTATAACATAAAGAGTAGTCTAAGGTTCCTTTAAGATACCTAAAGACTCTATCGAAGGCAACCTAATGCTCTTTAATCGGACTATGTGTATATCTACTTAGTCTCCCTACGACATACGAGATATCAGGTCTAGACTTATTTGTTATGTATAATAAAGATCCAATCATTTGTGAGTAATTCAATTGTAAAATTGGTTCCCCTTTATTTTTCTTCAAATGTACATGAGAATCATATGGTGTTGATACAGACTTACTATTATAAAAACTAAACTTTTTCAACATTTTCTCTATGGTGCTAGACTGACTTAGAGATATTCCATTAGATGTTTTTCTATTTTCATTCCCAAGACCACATAGACTTCTCCCAAGTCTTTCATATCAAACTTAGTAGATAAATAAGATTTAACATCATTAGCGACTTTCAAGTTTGTCCCAAAAATTAGTATATCATTTACATAGAGACATAAAATCACACAACCAACATCACTATCCTTGTAGTATAAACATTTATCACTTTCATTAATTTGAAAACCATACTCTAGAATTACTTTATCAAACTTCTCATGCCACTATTTGGAAACTTGTTTAAGGCCATATAAAGACTTCACTAATTTACAAACCTTATGTTCTTGTCCTTTCAACATAAACCCCTTAGGTTGTTCCATATATATTTCTTCATCTAAATCCCCATTTAGGAAAGCGGTCTTAACATCTATTTGATGTATTACTAAGTTATGGATAGATGCTAGAGCTACTAGTATTCTAATGATAGTAATATTAGTCACAGGCGAGTATGTATCAAAATAATATATTCCTTTCTTTTGAGTAAATCCTTTAGCCACCAATCTGCTTTATATTTATTTATACTCCCATCAGGTTTTAATTTCTTCTTAAATACCCACTTACACCAATAGCTTTGCTTCCAGGAGGCAATTCTATTATCTCCCTAGTATTATTAAGCAATATAAATTCAATTTCACTATTAATAGCCTCTTTTCAAAAAGATGCATCTATAGAAGACATAGCTTCTTTATATGTCGTTGGCTCTCCTTTTACTAGAAAAGTAAAAAATCCTTCTCCTAAATCCTTCTCTATTCTTGGTCTTTTACTTCTCCTTAGCTCTACATGTTGTTCTATATTTTTCTCTATTGGAGCAATAGAACTAATAGAAGGTTGATCACTAGTTGAAGGTGTTTCTCTTACTTGACTAGGCATTGTATTTTTAAAAGAAAAAATATCTTCAAAAAATGTAGCATCTCTAGATTCAATTATAGTATTGTTTGAAATTCCACTAATTTCCGAGTTAATAACTAAGAATCTATTAACACTACTATTTTGGGCATATCCTATAAAGACGGTGTCTACAGTCTTAAGACCTATTTTCTTTCTCTTTAGTTCGAGAATAGCTACCTTAGCTAAACACCCCCACATTTTCATGATACTAAGGTTAGAAACTCTTCCCTTTCATATCTCATATGAAGTTTTCTCATTATCTTTAACATATACTCTATTCAAGATGAAACAAGCACTAAGTATAGCTTTCTCCCACAAATTATCATACAAGCCGAAACTAGTCAACATTGAATTTACCATATCTATTAAAGTTCTATTCTTTCTTTAAGCTACCTCATTTGATTGAGGAGAATAAGGAGGAGCCACTTCATGTATTATTCCATATTCTTCACAAAATGTACTTACGTCGGTTAGAGTATATTCATTACCTCTATCGGACCTTAACCTTTTCACTTTTCTCTCTAATTGATTTTCAACCTCATTTTTATATATCTTAAACTTATTAAATACTTCATCTTTATTCTTGATAAGATAAATATAACAATATTTAGAACAATCATCTATAAAAGTCACGAAATATTTATTTTCGGCTTTTGTTGGTGGTTTATTAGAATCACATACATCAGTATGTATAAGTTCTAGAAGTTAAGTATTCTTTTCTACACTCTTATGAGATTTTCTAGTTTGTTTGGCTTGTACACAAATTTCACATTTATGTTTAAAATCTACATGAGATTTGGGAATAAGATTGATATCCATCATCTTTTTAATTTTCTTTAGACTTATGTGTCCTAATCTTCTATGCCATACATTACAAGATTCAACATTGAAAACTTGATGAGAAATTTCATTAAT